AACTCCAGCCGCGCCTGTTCCAATACCAAGTGCGCCCATATGGTGATCAATCAAGCCTCCCCCAACTCCGGCCACGCCTGCTCCGGTGCCAAGTATTCTTGCACGGGGACCAATCATGTCTCCTTCAACTCCGGCCACGTTTACTCCAGTACCGAGTGCTCCTGCATGATAGCCAATTATGCCTTCTCCGACTCCGGCAACGCCTGCTCCAGCATCAAGTATTCCTGTAGGGCGAGCAGTTATGCCTTTTCCAACATAGACTACACCTGCGACTCCTGAAAGGTCTACCTTGCATTTTGTTGTGCATGTGAGTGCTTTAAGTGAAATGCTGGATTGATATTCTACTTCGCTGCTCACAGAAAAGCTACGATGAGGATTGATGTAGAGAAGGTATTTCCTTTGTTAACACGCTCGTAGTAATTTAAAAGTGCATCTTGCTTAATTTTGACGGTCTGAAAGCAGTATAAACAAAACGGATTCGCTGCACTTTTTTGCCAAATCGGTTGCTGATGGGTGCATTTTAACTTACCGCCTGTATTTTCTTGAGCGGGTTGTAAAACTAGTAATTACTTGTGGAAGTATGACATTAAAATCTTTGTGCTTCTGAGTTAGTCTGCTTTTTGTTTCATTATTAGCCACAAGTTCGTTTTTATTTTTTTGGATGACTTGTTTTTTGAGACGATATCTCAGACAAACTTGTGCTTCTAAATAATAATTAAAAAATGGTTAATTTTCTGTGGTATAATGTGACGCGCTTTGAAAATTAAGCTTGTTCATGTATCTAAGCAAATAAGTGCAACTAGCAAGGTTTAGGGTTTCTTGAAACTTGCTTCTGTGCTATATACACTTTGAAAGAACAGGTATTCAAGTCTCGATTAATTTGTGGAATTGTGGAAGCTGTTAAAATTTAAAAAAAAACCGACTTGATTTATTGCAATCTATCAGCTACAGAAGCTCTTTTTGAATAAACTCTGTTTCATGATGAACTTTGCATGCTCTTATAAATTACTGTTTACGGGCGATATAATGTACCTCCGGCTCCATACAGTCCTCCTATATGTGAGCCGGGTCCGTAAATCAACCCTGTTCGTGGGTAGAGCATTCCTCCTGCATCGTTCACATACAATGGCATTGCTTGTTTGATACCATAGGGAATTATAACACCCGGATGAGCCCCTCCAATATGACTTTCAGCAAATGATGACTTCGACGCCGATGATCTGCTTGCTGCACTTTGTTGTTGGATACCTATTGGGAGAAATATTGCATATAGAATGCTTGCGCATAAACATTGATTTTGAGAGAGAGGTCCATGAAAAGTTAGCAAAGAAATATTACTTTGCATGCCATTTGGTCCTTGTGCAAACATAGAAAATTTTTTCGATGATGATGCGGCATCTGATTTTGACGAAGCTGCCTGTAAAGTCAGAAGATTTATATAATAACCGGCAGCCACTTTTGATTCGCTGTGTCACGTAAAAATATTCATTTTAAAAAGTAACTAACCTTATAGCTCTTTAACGAACTTCCGGGACCGACAACACCTACTCCTCCACCTAGAAAAAATATTTTTAGCTATGATTGCAAGAAGTTTACTTTTATCTGCTTCAGTGCTAAGAAGAGCTTGAAAAGCCAAAAAAACATTATCTTTTCAAAGCTGCTTGATAAGTGAAAAAAACCTGGAAAGAACTACAAAACTGTTGTTTAACAACTTCAAAAACGTCAGAAAATTTAAAAGAAAAGCGTAAAACTTTTTTTTTATAGCGAGGCTTATTTTTTATTTGATTCACTTACCGATTAGGAAAGATTGGGCACTAACTGCGTTGAGGAGGAGGAATACAAGAAACAGCATAGTTGACAGTGTTTTTGAGTGCGCGATCTCCACACCTGTACGTTCCTCGTTAAATTAAACAGACACACTACAGCAAGGTTGTTCTTCAAAATGGAAAAAGACGAAAACATAGAAGAGGATCGGCTTGACAATCAACAGTAAAAAAGAAACTTTATGTTTTAACTCAAAAAAATTGATATTTTTGCAACATTAAAAAAACTGTGCAAATTTAGCTGTCTGTCGAGCCTTGTAGATTACAACGTGCAAAAATTAGTAAGGTCAAAAGTTTAAAGCTTTTGAAAAAAGAATATATTCAAAAAAGCAAGAAAAAACTTATTGGCATTGAGAAGAATTTGTTAACTGTTTACATCAATTGTTTACATCGACCTGACACTGATTTATTCAGTAAAATATGTCATTTCTATCACGTAACAATTTTTTTACTGGAAATTAGCAACTAATAATTTTATGATACAAAAATTTTTTTTGAAATTTAACAGTCATCAAAGAAGGTTTTCCTTTATCAAAAAAATCTACAAAAGTTTTAAGTTGAAATTTTTATGAAAGAAAAAAAAAAAGAAATTTTACTGAGGAGAAGATAAAAACAAGCAAGATTAGGTGCATTTTCTTGAATGTTGGTTGCAGAATAAATACAGTCCAATTATGCAGCCAGGGTTTTGCAGGAGGAAAAATACAGTTTATCTAAATTATTGTCTGTATACGCAGATGGACTTCTTTTTATACAATGTGCTTATAATCGGTATTTTAAGAACCCTAATTTATTATTATTCAGAAGTGTTGTACGATCAAAGTGTCGGTAATGCGGGAAATATAAATAAAAAATTTTTTTATTTATTTCTTCTTAACTTCAGTAAACCTTCGCAAATGCTTCTCACATTTTTGGAAAGAAAAAGAAAACAGAGAAGAAGCAATAACAGTCAAAAACACTGCAGTGAACACGGCAAAAAACAGTAAATTTATGCAATTCGTCACTAATGACTTGCTGTTAAAAAAGCTGCTTTAAACAAAAAAAAGAAAGAAAAGAAAAGATTACAATTTTTGTTTTACCGTTTCTCAATACCGTCTTTGTTTTTTACTTTTTGTCTTAAAACTTTTCAAGTAGTCTTAGCAGGTCTGTTGTAATTGAAAAAAAAAAATAAAGAAAAAACAACAAAGTAATTACTGATTCGTCTTAAGTGTTCAGAAATTCCTTGACATCGCTTTTACCCCTCTTTTTTCGCATACATTTTTTTACCGTTCAGAAGCTCATTAAAAAAAAGAAGTTTCAATTAAATTTGGTTTTTTTGTTTGTTTGATGACTTTATTCAACAACAGTTTCCAAATTAGCTGTAACAACAAATAATAAAAGATAAACCTCCTAAATTTATATGGAAAACTGTAACCGGCCAAGAAAATTCTGAAACTGAATACCAATGAATGAGTAGAAGCGCTTTTTTGTATTTTCACACAGGCAGTCATAGAAAAGTGACAAGCACCTTTCCGAGATTAAGTCTTTGTTCAGGAATCAATTTATACACTAATGTTTCCGTAATTATTTCGTTATGTGTAACTCGTTCTCTGACTCTGTAGTAAGAAATATCTCATTTCGACACAAAAAAAAACCTTGCAACGTAATTTCAGTTTTTTTAGTGCACTTTTGCATTAAAGTCTGTCAACAGCAAATTGAAAATGCTATGGCACTAGTATCACTTAGGTACAAGTAACTGTTGAGTTGTAGAATGACGCCGACTAAACCTTGATTAATAATTAATAATTAATTTAAGTAATCAGCCTGTTTTAGGCTTAGATCTAGCAAAGTAAAAACAATAAAAATTTCAAACTGTTTGGTCAATGTTTGTTAATCATTATATAATCATCTTCCTTCGCTCTTTTCTTTATACTGCATGTTAATTTTCAAACCATTTCATTTTGGACGACAATTCTGGAATTGCTTTTTAACAGCAATGCTATAGATTTTAATTTTGCAATTTTATTTCACAGTCATCTGCAAATGCAAAATAAATGAATACCGACGAGATTTTAAAACAACTGCATTGAGAAAACTGTTTTTTTTTCAAACAAAAGAAGTGAAAAGATATAATTAAACAAATTATCATGATGCAATTCTTAGGAATCGTTATGCATTTGCAAAATCACAAGTCTTCATCATTTTAAGCAGAGAACAGAGACTTGTTGATGAAAGCAGAAGAGCTAAAATACCTTAAAGTTTTCGAGATTTATGAGCCAAATAAGAAATTTGACGAATTCAAAGAAAATGTTGTAGATTAAATTAATACGCCTGTGCAAATCGATCCATCGATTGCTTTCCATTAAGATTCACTGGTTATTTGATTATTAAATTCGCTAAATTTTTCTGCCTGTTCATTTACAGAAAAATAATTTCTTTTTAATTACTACCTTAGACTTCACTTCCTTGGAATAAAAGAAGTTTGAAGTTTTTCACTATTAGTATTTAAAAAAAGGTTCAAACAACATTTGCAAGAAAGTATTTTGATTCATTGTGATTAGACACGAAGCATTTGATCACTGCTTTCACACTGCCAGGTAAATGTGCATTATAAGCTCTTTTCTTGATTTTTACTATTTGATTTTGTAAAACACTAGCTTAACAATTGCATATTAAAGCAAAGCTGATTAGCAAGTCTGGAAAAGCACACAATTGATATGTTATGATTATTTGACTATATAAGTCTGTATGTGCCCTTTGGCTACTGCATTGAAGAGGTTCCAAATGCATTGTTCTGATGTTACCATTTGAGACCATAATGATCTCTAAAATTTCCAGCTACTTGTGTTTAGTAAATTGAGCAGCCAGCAGAATTTGAAGTTGCTTTTTTAATTTCATTTGCTGCTTCAAAAATTGAAACTGTCGTAATTGAATGAGAGGATTAAAGAGCCACAGGAATGCTAAAAAATAGTCAGGAACTATGCCAGTTACCCACCTTAAAAATTTTGAAAACAACGATTTGCTGTTGACCATTTCGCAACTGTGCAGCTGGTTTTAGAAACTTGAACGATTGTCAGAAAAATAGATTTTGACATGATACTAGTTGGTAAGAATTACCGTTATAATAGCTACTATCAGTAAAGCTTTAAATAATTAGTATATGTTCAAATTTTTTAGTGTTTGATCTTAAAAATTTAGCTCATTTAGCTCCAGTTATAACCAAGTATTTATTTTTTAACTTTTTTCGTTTACTAATTTTTAACTATGTGGCGCAGCGCCAGATTTTAAAGGTCAGCACTCGCATACTGTATATGTTGAGGTTCCTTTAACTCTACTTTTTCTTTTAGAAATCTAGTTCCTATTTTTTTCTAAAAAAACGTCAATTTTGCTCACTGTCTTCCGCAAATGGCAGAAAAAGAGGAAAAGGAAGGTGCTGAATTCGGAGAAAAAACATGCGTTTAAACATACTATGGCCTCTTCACATCGTTTTATTTTTTCGAAAAATATAGGAATTGAAGTTATCAACAAATTTTATTCCTAAGTGTAAAAATAAAACACCTTTGAGAGAAAAAGACTGTATAAACAAGATTTCAAAAACTGCAATTTTACTGTTCCAAGTACAAAGTTTAATTATACAATCTTGTTCAGTGGTTTACATTTTTAGTATTAGCGGAATCTATTGAATTATCATCGCATAAAAATCAGTAAAGCTATAGCGACACTGATAAAATTTTTAAATTTTTTCTCTTCTTTATCTTTTACTTTACAGGCGTAACTTTTGCTTTCCCACTACTGTAGTCGCTGCTGTATCAACTGTAACCCAAGCTCCATCTTTCTCTTGATGACACTTTCTATTCTGTTCAATGATTGCAGTTTAGAATGAATAATTTACAGCTTTGAAGCGAAAGTAGAAAATACCAGCGTTAAGTAAATGTGCAAGCTCCGCAGAAATTCTTAACCGTCTTTTATACTCTTAATTTTACAATAACTTTCCAGTATTATAATGCAGAACAGGTATAAATTAAACTGCTTGCTGATTTTTTAAGACTCGTACTTTTTCCATCTTCACTCCCCTACACCTGCACTTTTCTAGGTTTTTTCTACTCGTTAGTAGGATTCCGAAGCCGACCATAAACCCTCTCTCGGCTTACCAAGAACGATTGAATTAAAATATTCTGTGTTTATGTAAAAAGGAACTTGTAGAGCAAATATTTTTAGTTCAGAGAAGGAAACTAAAATTTTTATTGTACATTTAGAACTTCCTACTACAAAAACCTTTTTTTTAACTACTTATTTAAAGGCAATTGCTTTTCTGCTCCAGTTTGATTCAGTCCCTAAGACAGTAGACGAGACTTGTTACAACACTAAAAGTAAGTTTTCAAAGGAGAAGTATAACTGCACTTTCTAGCACCTTTTTTTTAACCAATTGGTAAGAGAATTCGAAAGTAAAATGAAACTATGCTGCAGTCGTCATCGATGACCAAAAAAAAAAACCGGCAAAAAATTACGAATTTAGTATGGTTCAAAAGTGCACTGACGAGATCCCGACGGTAGCTTGGTGTTAGTATAGTAGCAACTGTTGTAAGTCTGGCGTGCAAGGCTAACCAGAATAAACTGTGCTTAGCATTATAAGGAGCAAAAGTTAATGACTTTTTTCAGTAAATGTAATTTCACTGTGACTCGTCTTTTTTAAAGAATAGATTTATATAAATAGAAGGGTAAGTAAGAATGAAGCAGCGAGATCACAAGCTAGTGTATTTTCTGCAAGATTTTTTGGAAAAGTCATCACAGGCGATTAAATGCTACCAAAAATCGCTTAATAGTCAACACTTCTGTCGCATTTGATTCGTCACACCGATGTAATATATTATAATACTAATCAACTAAATTAAAAATTGCTGATTGACAGCAGACCTTATTATTGAAATTGGTTTGATCTTCCTACTTCTCGCTTACATCTTCATGCAACCATCTAAGAAATAACCGGTGTTTTTTTTTAATGTTAAGAGTTACCACTGAACAATAAGTGTATACGTAAATTACCAAGCTTACA